ACGGGTGAGATACACAGGTGATGGTTTCAAGGGAGGAAGAAAGGGTGAAATCATGCCTCTAGGGCTCCTGGCCGCCCCATCTCCTGAGGTTCGGTGGGCTCCAACCCCCCAAAACCACCCACCCCTGGCCCACCTTCACTTCAGGAGGTCTAGGGATGGTGGAAGTGGATGGCATGGGCCCCCGAGTTGGGATGACCATGCTCCTTGGCTGCCAAGGCAGGTGGTTTTTACTCCACGTTCATGACTATTTCAAGGAGTGCAACAGACGTGCAACGGTTGATGTTCCCAAAATGCTGGGAATTGAGCCGAGACCAGTTCCATGCATAAGGAAAAACTGGCTCTTACGCTGATGGCAGCCGGCAGGAATTCAGCGGCAGGCACACTGGAGGGTTCGGATAGACCAGTCAACCCGTTGATGGGTTGGTTCCCCCTATCCTTACGGATCCAGTCGTATACCTTCTCAGGTACGGTGAAGAAGGAGACACTCTTATGTGGGTGCCAGGAGGGTCCAGTCATACCTTCTGAGGTTCGGTATGACTGGATCCCTATAGGGATCTATAGGGTATGAAAATACACACCAGCTTAGCCGTTGCTTCGCCAGAAAACACCACTTCCAGCCTTCTCCTTGAGGTTCCGGTCGACCTGCTTCGATCCTCCCATGAGCGATCGCTTACTGCCAGAGATCCTCACCTTTCCCTATGTCACTGATGTGCCTGGATCTGAGACGGGGAGGTGGAACACATGTGTCGATGTACCATCTTTTTCATGGAACCGATTCAGGTGGATGTTTGTACCCTCCAAATGTACGAAATATGAGACATGACCCGAACTAAGAAACAGGTACCATCTTGTACCCATTCTCTGAGGTACAAACGGGTCGACTGTAGTTCTGGATGTGTTTTTGCCTGGTGAAACGCTTGGCTGGTCTTGCTGTCCACCAGCGAGACCTGTCTCGCCGGGTGCGACTTCTCGGTACAACCCCACCCCCCGCCCCGGTGAAGAGGGTGTTTTGGAATCCCCAATGGGGTAGTTTTACTGGTCCAGAGTCTGCAGGTCATGGGATGTCCCATGACCTGTAACAGTGGGTATTAGCTCTTGAACATCAACAGTTGAGAGATATATGTTTGCCCGCAAACTGCGCAATTATCATCCACTGGGCCCAGGGAATGCGATATAACGATATACCCAACATCTAGATGTTTGGAGTGCATCCCATTACCAGCAGCAGTCGGAAAAAGTGTTTTTCAATCTGAAGTGGTTCTATTGGAGTCCAAGACTATTAAAAACATGGTCCGACGAATGGGGACCTGAAAGGGAAGTTTCTTTATTTCACTATGGACATGTATAGTCTAACTGGACTTCTAGCGTATGGATAACCTTCAAGTATCTCTAGAGATACTGAAGCATGATGGAGCCAAATGTCGTCTCAAGACTTAGCAATTCGATATATGTGGCAACATATTGTGGATGACAATTTTTCTCAACAGAAGTGTTTGGAGTGTATCTTCTTAGAATAACAATATAGCAACAAATAAACATATTAAAAGAAGACTACATGCCAAGCGATTTGCCATGTGAATGACCGGCCAATTGCCCTACTTAAGGACTTCATGGAGTCGGTCTACAGCATCACGCTGGAGCACTCAAGAGCTTCCTGGAGCGACACCAACACACTGGCCACCACGGCGCCTGGGCCACCGGCCGTCGTGACTGACGGTGAGACCCGGGCGTCGGTGAGGATGGAGGAAAGAGGTCCGTTTCGAGGAAAGAGGTCCGTCATTCGGATGAGCCATGATCGCCATTCTAGTGGAAGTTTGAGGGTTTGGGGTCACTGACTGGTTGGGCTGGTTGGTCGTTGATGTTTTGGGGTCATGTACTGGTTTGTTGCCAGCGGTTCCCAGATCGATGCTCTGGCAGCGTTTGGGTGTGTTTTGTTCTCATGCATGCTGGTGGTTGATTGAACAAGAATCCCGCAGTGACTTATGGCAAGGTAGCAGGTCCAATTCATTCACAGCCTGGCAGCAAACCTGGCTGGTGGACTGGATGTTCTGCAGCTACCCCCCCTCCCAGCTACAAAAACATGCCACCTTGAAGCCCCACATGCACTCAAATAACAGTCACGTCTCACAACACCTCCCTTTCAGCGTCCCTTTCCGCGTGATTCGCGCGTCATTCTCGCCCAGGAGCCTCGCAAAGCCAAAAGAGGCCGACCCGCGCGGTGCGCGGAGCGACCGGAGTCGGACTCCGCCTGACTCCGACGAGCGGACTCGGTCTATGTCGGGTGTCAGGACCCCCAAGCCAACAGCTACGTACTAGGAAGTAGGTGGACCTGCAAAGGCTTGGGGCGACCTGGTTTCCCGCACTGAACAAGAACAGCACTTCCATGAATATCCAGGCCTAGGGAGTGTGTATGATCCAGAGCGTGGGAGTGCAACATGATGGACAGACAGGTGGCCCCGCAGGGTCTCTTTAGCCTTTGATGTGCCAGATGGGACAAAGAATCAGCCCAATATTTGTTCCACACTTTGTTTTTTGTCCATGTGTTTCTGTGTATAGTTAGAGATCCTGTACTACCTAGAATTCCATGCGAGTTGCAGCTCCAAGAAGCTTGTGCTACAGACCCACTCTGAAGTCTAGTCTGAGAACAAACTAAAGAGAGGATGCCTCCACGATGCAAGTGAATTAGAGACCAGACTCCAGATCTAGAAGAAGCCTCGACGAACTAAACTCTTTCCCAATGTCAATCCCTAGGGCTCCAACTACCTCCTGAGAAGGTGGTTGGGGTGGGTGGGTCTAACCACCTTCTGAGGATATGGTTGGAGCCCTAGGGAATCTCGATCGTCCAAATAACGATCATTCCCTGAAGCTTTCTCTTATCGGCAGAAGCGATCCACCTTCAAAGTGACCTCGAATTGGAGTCTCTAAGTGACCTTGTACAGACCTAAGTGACCTCAAACTGGGATCAAGTTCGGTCACTTTGAAGGTCCAGGATCATGCATTCCCGATTGGTTCCCATGTGAATCACTCTCATCATGATCCACTTGATCCCCTGGATCCTTCATTTGCACATGCGAAGGTCTAAAACTGACACCTGCCTCCGATTGACCCTAGGGATCCAAGTAGCCTTTCAGAAGATACGACTGGACCCTCCTGGCACCTACATAACACTGTCGAACACATCACATTCTGAGAAGGTACTTGGATCCCTATAGGGTGATTGAATCTCATCCACCAAAAGGCACATAAGGCAAGTTAGGGACGCACACAAGTTAGGATGTGCTTCCTGGTTCAGAACGTTCAACCAAGTCGCCAGCAAAACTCCAAATCCAGTTTGGTACTGGCGACTTCGAGGTCGGCTTCACTGATGCTTCGCTTAGAAAACCTGCAAACTGGTCGCCTTGAGGATCGGGCCTCTATTTTGCACCAACCAGGAATCCTATCAAACTGGAATTGAAAGACACCAACCACTCATGACGTTGCAAGATGTTGCCCTCTAGCAATTGTTAATTGTTGGTCATCCGGATGAAGCACTCCATTGGCAACAGCAACTTATGTTTGCCTCCCAGTTTGCTCGTCCGTTGTTCGAAACGTCAAGCACAGTGCACTTGTGAACCATTGCCACTTCGTCAGTGATGTGTTCAAGTGGCAGGTGTGCCAACAAATGACTGGGCACCCAGAACAACTCTATGGCATCAGGATGGATGGAAGTGCCACCATTCTTGGTGAGACCCCCGTAGAACTTCACCCGCTTTGTGGTCATGGAACTACTCAACACGGATCACCCTCCATTTTGGTGCCCTTTCGGCCGTTCAACTCCGTCCCCAGGCGGAAGAGAGGCTCGGAGCCTTCGGGACTTTCACAAGCATTTCTACGCAGTGTGAAGCGATTCGATCGACACGGTTTGGTGTCGAGCCGTGTTTTTGACTCATCCAAACACGGTCGCAGCCTGGAGGATTTTGGGGGGTTTGGTGGGTGACAGGTGAGATGAAATATATAGAAGCTGTAAGCAGAAGCAGGCATGTTGTCCACCAAGCCCTGTTTTGTGAAGGGTAGTAGAGCTTTAGCAGCTGGAAGGAGAGGATGCCAAAGGTAACCTCTTTTGCACCGAAAGAGTGGTGCCATGATCCAGTCGCCGTTCGAATCTTTTGTTGAAGTTGATCCTGGAGTCCAAGTCCTCAAACAGAACCTGAAGTTAGCGGCCCTGCAGGAGCTGCAGGGGAAGAAAGCAAACAAACTGGTGCATCACTGCATTCTTTGAGGCTCCATTCGCACGTAGCGTATGCGAATGCGAAGGATGTCGGACGTGGTGCGATGTGAACGTCCAGGGTCAATGGGTCAACAGACGCAAGGCGCAGAGGGAGAAAAGCTGCTGGAACCATTCGGGTGCTGAACTGGAACAACCTTCATGAGACACTCCAACCAGAGGCGTGTGGATGTTCCTCCGATTGACCCTGCTTCTGCACAGTGATGTGCCGTCCGGCTTTGTGATTTTGGGGGTTCCAGACATGCGAGAGCTGGCCTCGGGGACCTTGGGCGAATCATAGGTGTAGAGAGAGAGAGAGAGTTCCGGCCGAGGTGGCAACCGGGCCAGGTCTTTGCCAGTTTTGTGGAAGAACATCCCTGGGTCAGCGATGAGAATGATATCCAAGTCACTCCTTTGGATCAGATTGAAAGGAAACCGACCTGAACCGGTCAACCAGCAGTTTTCTTGTTCAAGTCCAGTCACTTTTTCCACACTCCTCCATACTTCCGATCGCCCAAGGAGGAAGTATGTTGACAAGATGTGACTCTAGAGTTGGCGACTAATCGATTTGAAAGCATGGAGAAACATGGAGGTTTCGGAGATAGCAGATAGAACTGTAAGGACCTGAGATGGTGATCTTGCAAGCTTTTCTGGAACTGACCAAGGCATGGCATATATTTCATAAGGGTTTGAACCGATTTCAGAACATCTTCATGTTTGTTTGTTTTCAGAACATCTTGGTTGCTGTCTTGAACAGGTTGCTTTGAGAGCCGTGCCGCTTGTGCCTGGGCGGATTTCTGGTGTTCTTGGGCGGATAGGTGGGTGTCCAACCCTAGTGACGTTGAATGTTGATCAACCTCCTTTCCAGAGTGTTGTGACACATCTCCAGAGATTGAGATGTGTGGCTTCTTCAACATGTCTTATACCCCAAGCCAAACCCTACAAGGCTGTTAGGGTCCTAATAGGACAGCCCTTATCCTGCAACTACATACTAGTAGGACCTCTTAGTCCTACAACTACATATCTAAAGTGTAGACACCATGGATTCGAAGCAACCTACCCAGACACGATCTGTTTGGGACTGCCAGTCCGGACTGCCGAGAGTGAAAAGGCCAGGGGTGGTGGTGCCAGGGGTGTCAATGGGTCGACCATGGCAGTCGGCAGTCCCATTCCCGTTTGGGATCCAGTCATATCTGCAGTATCGATCGGTCATGGTCCACCGGTGGTCGAGTTCGACCCGAACGCACCCACCGGGGCGGACAGGTCGGCGGGTCACGGGGTCATGGGATCCTCGACCCTCACCGGCCCCGGTCGGTCGCCATGGTCAGGAAGTACGTGGATCGCCTGAAAAACCCTTTTGGGAGGGGAGTGGTGGCACCCCATCTTTCACAAGAACAGGCCAGGACCCGGTCAGGATGAAACAGGTTCTGTTCCAGGGAAACCGAAGGCTATAAGATGTTCAAAATCCTGTCGATCATACTTGTAGTCATGGTGGAAGTGGATGGTATGGCCCCGTTGGCATGATCATTGCAAACTCCACTTCCATGATTAGTTCAAGGAGTGTAAGGGAGAATCAGGACTGAGACAGTACTTAGTTGGGTGAACATGTAAACTGGCAACCCTAAGAATCCTTGGGCTCTCCATGGCAGGGGTCGGACCCGACACCTTCGCAGGGGTCCGGGCCCTCAAAACCCTATGTGTTTGAGGGTCCGGATTCTTAGCCCTGGAAGTCAAAGACCATTTTTGTTAATGGTTGATCTGGTTTTGTAGTGTAAAACCTTTAGTGAAACAATGGTTGTTCGGTAAAGGCTATTAGAACAATGGTGGTTCGACTTCTAGGGTTAGGGAAAATCAAAACTGGCTCCTCTACGCTGATGTTGGGTGTAGACACTCCGTTCTCAGCCCGACGGCCGACCGGGGTCGAACCAAACCGATCGGTAATTGATGAGAAACCCCAGACCCCTACCCTAGGGCTCCAGTCGTACCGAACCTGAGGTTCGGTGGGACTGGGGTGGGTGCCATGTTCGGGACCAAACACCGAACCTGAGGAGGTACGACTGGAGCCCTAGGGCTACAAATCATTGGCTCCGGATCCGCCGCTCTGGATCCGTGACGACTGGTTTTTGAGGTGACTTTCCGGACGCCGAGCTGGTGGAAGAGGAGCGGAGCGGTCGTGTGCTGGAGCTTTTTTCAAAATAGGTCTACTGTAGGTGTTTCTGACTACACATTCCTAGGCAAGCACGAAGGACGACCCGAAACTCGCACCACCACCTCCAGTTCGCCCGCGTACCACGCCCAGCTCACCGGATCCACTCGGCCAGGATGCTGGAAGTTCCCCCAGTTCGCGGAGCTTCTGGCAACGGCGCCACCAACGCTTGCTGAGCGCCACCCGGATGTGGATTCGAAACAACAGATCGATTCAGATCGGGAACGAGGTGGTGGAGGAAGCACTAGATGGGCTTTTTCTGTTCAGTTTTTTGTGTGGGTGTACGTGTGTGTTGATGCTTTCGGCTTTTTGTGGGGTATGCGGCTATTTAAGAGATCCCCTTGAAGTCTGTAGTAGTTCTCATGGAACCCTTTAAGTGCAGCGTTTACCTGCTGGGCTGCAGCACTTGATGAGTGTACCCCACCTGGCGTGCGTTCTGCCACACATGGTTAGATGAAGATTGCTTACAGGAGTTTCGTTGAAGTCGCCCACTCGCTATAGTGCAAAGCCTCATCCTTTTTACGTCAGTGTTGTCTCTATGTGGCAAACTTCTCCCACCATTGGCATCATTGGAGGCTGATCAATGCTCGTTTCATGGACCATTCGATCGAACGTCGGATGCCGAGCTTGGAGGGTGCCGTCGGGGTGCCCCCTGTCACATGCACTCACGGAATGGGACTACGAACCCTTCCTTTGGAACTCCGGGCGCTTCTTCAGTTCGTGACCTTTTGAAGGTTCCTTTTTGTGACCCTTAGGAGGCTTAAGTGACCGAACCAACCAGGTGATCAAGTTCGGTCACGAACTGAAGAACCAGTGTTGTTTTTTTTGACGTGACCGAACTTGATATCCCACTATGTTCATCGGTCACATATACTTTGGCCCCCTAAGTTCGGTCACCAACACGAACCAACAGGGACTCCAGTTCGGGTCACGAACTGAAGCTGCGACCCGAGACCAAGCTTCACCGCTGCTGTGGCCCCAGACCAGCCCCCGAACGCAGGGGTCGAAGGTTAGAGGGTTCGAACGCAATCCCTATAGGTCCGGGGCTCGGAGGGCGAACTCACGTCACACGGAGCGTTGGTGTTTCCCTTAGGGCTCCAAACGCCCGCCCCATCTCCGACCCGGTGACCGGTGGCAAAAACCACCCACCCCTGGCCCACCACCTTCTCCTCAAGAGGGGGCGGCCGAACGGAGCCCCAACGGGTTAGACATGGTTTGACCCTTGCTCCACACTGGTCATGTCGAACATGTTGGCTTCCTTAAGCGTAGCAAGAAGCTACGCACGGTGGAGGCCGGAAGCTGCTAGTCACAAGAACCTCCTACTCCTAGTGTTTTCTTCCCGCGCTCGAGGCCGGGCTCTCCCCCGGCGAGGTGGCTGAAGGTAGCAGCAGTGCGGTGCCCCAGGGTTCGCGGCGAAGAAGGCGCTCTAGAAGGGTTTCAAGAGGTTGTGTTCATGTTTAATGACGTATTCTGCAGGAATCAATTACGTATTCCAAAGAATATGGAAGCTTCATGAAGTTACAACGAAAGGTTTGGAACTTTTCACCAGCACCGCATAGCACCGCTGTTCCATGACCAATTGATACCAATTGATCTTCTGAGGTCGTTTTTGTGGTATCCACTCCATGTTTTTAATTGAAAAGCAGCAGACGCCGTCGACGCAGCCGACGCCACACGCGTGCCGGTCTCTCCGCAGCGGGCCCATGCTCACGTTCCAGACCGATCGGTCGGCGGTTTTGAAACGCCGAGGCTATGCCTTTGTGTTTGACGACGACTCATGTGCCCTGGCGAAGCAAACGAGTTGCACGTGCGGAAGAGTTGGCAGGTGCGGAACCAGGATCGAAGGCTATACCCAGACACCTTTTATAATCGAAGGCCATATTTGCCCGCCCCATTGACCCCCCTGGCACCACCCCAACTGATCGGCATATATATTGCAATGAGTGATGCCTCTACGTAGTGGAGCCACGACTATATGTCCCCCCTACTCTTCGTAGCTGTTTGGCTGAAGGGCAACTGTTCACCCCCCCGCCAGCGGGATGTGGCTGGCGGGGGGTGTCGATCGTGAGAAATGGTTCAACCACCGATTTGCTCCTGGGCAGTTGGTGGAGTGCGGCATTCGTGACAACGAAGGCCATGCACAGGGCACCGTGATCTTGGAGATCGCAGCGGCTTTGTCCACCGATGATCAAGGGCATTGGGTGACGGCCAAGTTCCTCGGGGCCAGTGATGCCCATATGCAATGGTGGATGTCTGAAGGTGCTGGCAAGAAACTTGCTGCCAAATGTGCCTACCACTTCTGCGAAGATTCTTCGCATGATTGCAAGGTCAGCAGACGTGGAGCCTCGATCCATGTAGAGAAGTTCAGGGTGCTGGGCCAAAAGGAGGTCAACAACCATGTGCCTTCTTGGGCCTTTGCCAAATCAATGGGCAAGCACTTCATGGACTTCTTGAAGAAGAAAGGCATGGAGCCCAAAGCTGAGGAGGCCAAAGGCGCTTTACCCTGGGTGGACCCAGGTGAAGAAGCTTCGGAGGAAGAGGAAGAAGAAAGCAGTGGGAGTCGTGAGAAGGAGGGCCTCAAGTCGAAGCTCCTGAAGGCACGTGACATGGTCAAACGCCTTGAGCGAGAGTTGTCAGGTAAGAAGAAAGCCTCAAAGAGTGGCGGCATCAAGGCAAAGAAGGAGAAGGTCAAGCGCAAGAAGAAGGTGGAGCCTGACGCCGAGGTAAAGAAGAAGCGAAAGAAGGAGAAGAAGTCACCCTCCCCTGGAGGTGGAAAGAAGAAGAAGCGGAAGGCCGCTGGAGCAGATGAAGAGCGAGACAAGGAGGCCCGAGTTGCCAAGAAGAAGAAGAAAGACATTGAGGAGTCCTCCTCTTACAGTGAAGAAGAGGAGGAGGGCTTGTTTGGTGAAGGCACTGAGGGCAAGGCGTCATCCTCGGCAAAGAAGGGCCAACGTGATCGTGGACCCTTCGGGGGTGGTGACATCGTCAGGTACCAAGGGGAGTCCTCTAGCGAGTCAGAGGCAGTTTTTCGCGAAGCCCCCACAGTCCCAAAGGCATCAAACCAACTCAAGTTGATGCAGTACGCAAAGAGAACACCGGGCCGCCTGGCTTCAAGACTCCTCTTGAAGATGCAGGTCGAGGGAGCCCAAGGGGCTGTGGGGGCGAACCCCGCGGATCGAGGAGAGCTGACCCCGCCAGCGGCCGTGCACTATTTCCACACGATGATAGTGCCGCAGCTGGGACAGCGCCTAGGGATGAGAGCGCATCGGGAGATGAGGACGTTGTGCACAGCACTGGACATGTTGGCCAGAAAGCTGCCAGCCCACGCAGCGGACCTACTGGGGCAGCGCCTCAAGGCCATCGAGAAGAGCTGCCACGACGGGCACTGGCAGGCAGCCCAATTCCTGGAGCTTCTGGGTCCGGACGCAGGCGGCCTCCTGGAGAGGGACGAGGAGGTCTTCATGAACCGGGAGCATCTGTTGGAGCTGAAGTTGAAAGGGTTCAGCAACCCGAGAGCCGGCAAGGACGGAAAAGGAAGCCAAGAGAAGGGCGGCCGGAAAGGGAAAGAGAGAGGAAAAGGCAAAGGAGGAGAAAGGGAGAAGGAGAAGAAGGACTAGTTCCTGCAGAAGTCACCAGGGAGCCCTCTCCGCCCCCTGTGCCATCAAGTCCTGGCGATCTGAGGAGCTACCTCGCTGAAGAGCGCTCGCCGGTGGAGTTGTTCTATGGCTTGTGGAGGACTTTTGAGGGCAAGGATTCGCCGCTGAGTCGCCTAGCGCAGTTGGGTCGAAGTCAAGGAGCGCCTCTCGAGGAGAAATCCTCCAAATCGTTGCGGGGCGATGAGCTGCTGCCCATTAACCCACAAGCGGCGATCACCTACTTGCAGGCGCACGGCGAGGTGAAGGCTCAGGGTGTTGCGGGCATGGTGACTGCCCTGAATTTGCTCGCAAGGTCACAAGGCCATGGAGGTTGGTCGAACCCGGAAGTCAAGGCTGACCTCACTCAGGCACAGAAGCTTACTGTAGATCACTTGAGGCGTGCTCTGGACTATGTGGAGGAGCGGAAGCTGAAGTGTGGTCGATTCAAGCAGACAGCGAAGCGCCTGGCTGATGTGCGCTTTGACTACCAGGGAGAGCCTGTGGTCGTGATGGAGGATATCATGGCAGACAAGGTGATAGCGGCTTGGCCTGGGGTGGGTCAGGCGGCAGTCCAAGATGCCTTATCATTCCTCCCCGAGAAGTTGAAGGCGAAGCTTCTGGACCCGACCTCGTGTCTCA